TTGCCCACTGAAGGCTTCTTAATCCTGTGCCCTTAAAGAAATTTTGGAGCCTTTAACATAGTCTTTTGGCATCTTTCTGTCCCTACTACCTTCGGTGGAGCCCACAAAAGTGCAGTCCCTCCCCATCCTTTGTCCTGGACACTTGATGGGAACTTTCAATTTGGAAAATTGTGTCTTGACTCCAGGAAATGTTATCGTTCTCTCCCTTCCACCTTCTTCCCTTCCCTTCCCTTCCCTTCCCTTCCCTTCCCTTCCCTTCCCTCCCCTTCCCTCCCTCCCTCCCTCCCTCCCTCCCTCCCTCCCTCCCTTGCTCCTTCCCTCCCTCTCTTCCTCTCTTCCTCCCTCCCTTCTTTCCTTCCTTCCTTCCTTCCTTCCTTCCTTCCTTCCTTCCTTCCTTCCTTCCTTCCTTCCTTCCTTCCTTCCTTCCTTCCTTCCTTCCTTCTCCTGTTTTTTTGGCATATCTCCATTAACGTCAGCTTTGTTTGAGCGCTTCCTTGTCTTTTTTTCCCCCTCCATTTTTTTGTCTTTCAAAAACATGACCTCTTTCATTTCCTATAATTTCCCCTAACCATGCTCTTTTTTACTTGTGGGTTTACACCCCTTTTATATTTCTTTGCTGTTAGGTTAGTTAGTGTATTCATTTGCTAGAGCTGACTTAACAAAATCCCACAGAATAAGTGGTTTAAACAACAGAAATTATCACAGTTCTGGTGGCTGGAAGTCTGAGATTAAGGTGCTAGAAGGGTTGACTCCTTCTGAGGCTGTGAGGGACAGTCTGTTCATGCCTCTTTCCTAGCTTCTGACTGTTCGCTGGCAGTCTTCAGTATGTCTTGGCTTGTAGGTGCAGTACCCTATCTCTACCTTCATGTCCACATGGCTTTCTCCCTGTGAATGTGTCTGTCTTTGTCCCAACGTCTCCTTTTATAAGGAAGCCAGCCAGTCCCTCATTGATTTAGGGCCCATCCTAATGGCCTCATTTTAACTTGATTACCTCTGTAAAGATCCTATTTCTAAAGAAGATCACATTATGAGGTTTTGAGGGTTAGAACTTCAATTTATCACTTTTGGGGACACAGTTCAGTTCATAACAATGAGTTTCAAGAAAAGTGTGTGACATCTGTGTTTAACAGAAGGTCTAGTTATAGCAGTATTTTCAAAAATGGTTTAGTCACATCTATCTTAACTGAAGATCAAAAACAATTCTCGGAAGTACTTTTTAGATTACAGCTCGAGATTTTTGTGTTACTGTGAAATTTCTACTTATTTCCCGAATGTTTAACTTAGTATCTCAGTCATCTCATTTTCTACCCTTGCTTTGTTTCTGAAGTAATTTGAAGGTTGTAAAAAGGAAATTAGGGAAAGGACAGCAGCAGTGTCTTGTGTGAAAGTAAATCTTAAATTTGTGTGAACATGATCTTCTAGGTTCTGATGCTCTATCTCCCATGTTATTTATACCCTATTTCTTTCTCAGATGTGAGCTTTCCTGGAGTTTGATGGTTTTTTAAAATTCTGTCACACATTTTCTTGATTTTGACTTCCTAAGCCCTTTCTTTAGAATAGCCTCCTGCCCTTTCTTTCTGAGAGCATCACTTTTTAATTTCCTTCATAATAGAATTGATCCATGATCAGGTTCATAAGTCGATGCTCAACAGTTGAGCCCTTGAAGCCGGGCATAATTTTTTTACTACTCAAAACTTTAGTTTTCTCACCTCTTTCTTTATTGGTAATTCAGTAGAAATATATTGTTATTCCAATGTACAACCACTGGGGGGAGTATCTTATTTTTATGTTTTGTGTTAAAATCAGAATATAATTTGTGGCATAATGATATATCTATTGTATCAGTGTAGCACAACTTCAAAATAAGAAATTCCAAGTTAGAAAGTTTTAAATAAATTCTTAATTTTTCTTAAACCTAGATTTGTTTACTAATGGGGCTAGTAGTAGAAAAAAACACAACTTATATATTCTACTAATGTTACTATCAGCTGTGAAATCTAAACAAGATTCCGACTCTTTTGACTAGCAGTTTAGTTTTGCTTCCCTAAGATGGACTTCGGAAAGAGTTAAGTCTTGTGAAAAAAGTATCCCAACTTCTATGCACCTTTAAGAAAAAAAAAAAGATCATGAAGATGCTATGCAAAAGTAACAAGTAATTTTTCTTGATATTCAACCATTGTTCTTATCTGAGCCTATAGAGAAAAAGTAGCGTTTTTCTTTGAAAAAGTCACATGCGTGATTAAGAATTATTGGTTTGACTTTTAACTCTTACTTCTCAAGTGATAGGCTGGAACCAAAATATTGGGTACCAGCTTGGGGGTTACGTGATCCACAGGTTACCATATGAGAGGAAGCTGAAAGTGTGTGCCTCTTGATTAAATAGATGTTTGGGAGATGAGCTCACCATCTGTTGCTCCATGTCTGAACATTCTGTGAATCATCAATCCAAACACTGAAATAATTTCAATACTAGCAGGAAACTGAAGTGCCTGGCCTGGGGCCTGCTTGTCGTGTAAAAGGCATTTGAGGTTGCCAGAGCAGAGGTCATACCCTCCAATCGCTGCCCTTCCGGATCTCACTTCTCTTGTTAGGCCTTTCTTCCTCTTTCCTGCCAGTCTCCGTCCCCTTTCCTGCTAGCACTTTCTCATGTCTTAACCTGGCAGTGTGGAATAAAAGGTGCTGAATCAGAAACCTGGTGTCAACTAAGTGGGTGACCTGGAGCTAATTGTCTGACTCCTTTCTGGGCCTCCGTTTCCTCACATTTAAAATGGATGAGGTTTTGCCATGGCGAGTGTGGCTCAGTTGGTTGAGTGTCCTGCCAAGTACCAAGAGAGGTCATGTGCAGGAGGCAATCAATTAATGTTCCTCTCTCTTCCTCTCTCTCTAAACTCCATAATAAAATAAAATAATAAAGTAAAATTAAAATTAATTAAAATTAAATATAAAATAAATAAAAATGGATGAGCTTTTTCTCCATTTTTTTCTCTTTCCCTGTATTTTCATCTTTCCATCTACCCTGCTACTTACATTTCCCCCTGCTTGTTTTCTCATCTCTTCCAAGTTTTATTTCTCCTATGTTTCCTTCCCTCCCCACACCAGTTCATCACCTTTTGCAGTTTCTCCTTAATTTCCTTTGTCTCTACCTATTTCTCCTTCCATTTTTTTCCCACTGGCAGTACCCCAGTATCACTTTTTGCTTACTACTGTCTGGTGTCAGGGATTCGGAGCTGCAGTAGTACATGGAGGAAGAGGTTTATATTTTTATACAATGCATGCTATTTAGACTTAACAAAAATTCACTTCTTGTGAAAGGAGGAATTTGTGTACATGATGTGTATTAAAGTAAATTACACGTGCCTGTGGGCACTTCATGTACTCTAGGCTCAAATTAATATTTGATAGGCTGGGCAGCAAGCAGTATAACATATTGAACATAAGGAAACTTTTCCCATTTTTGATTTTGGTGAAATTTGTTTGTAACTCTGCCATTTAACATTTTTATTATGTGCATATTAGTGATATATTGCTGCAGTAAACATTATCAACTCCTGTTTATTTGGTCAATCATTTGGAAATTTTTTCTTTTTGTAATGTTTAAAGGTAGAAATAAAGTTTTAATAATATGAACATCATTAAATGTGAGAGGGCCAACTAGTATGTTGTTGATGAATTATAACTAAATATTTTCATTTAGTTTCATGAATGGAATATTATGAGAGTCACATATATAATTTTAAATTTTCTAGTAATGTTAAAAAGTAAAAATAGGGGACCCTTTCCCTCTCCTCACGTGGAAGTTCATTCTGTGGGACTCTTTCTCTCTCCCCACGAGGGAGTCTGTACTTGTTCTTCAATAAATCTCCCTTTGCTCTGCTAAAAAAAAAAAAAAAAAAAAAAAGTAAAACAAAGGAAGTAAAATTAACTTTAAATATATATCTTATTTAACTCAATATATCCAAAATGTTATTTTAATATGTAACCTATATAGTATGTAAAAAATTATGAGATTATTTCACATTCTATTTTTATTCTAAGTCTGTATTTCATACTGACAGTACATCTTAATTGGTACTAGCCACATTGCAAATATAACCACATATGGCTAGTGGCTATTTATAATGAACAGAACAGTCCTAGATACTGATGAATAAAATAGTATATTTTAATTTAAAAATTAATACATTTTGTCTGTCTGTATTTTAAGTTTGTTGAAACAATTCAATTGAAGTTTCTATATGTTGACTTACTGAGAGCTAGAAATTCCAAGAATGTTTGAATTTTATAATGTTGCATTGTCATACTCTTTAAGTTAAGTAAATGGTTCATTATTATTATGTAATAGTATACTTATAATAACATTAATCTACTTAAATGTTATCACTTTATTATTTGTTCATTATTTACAGTCCTGAGCAAGCTATTTTTCTTCCAAAATTTTGAAAATATGTTGGGTCATGCCAGTATGACAAAGTAAAAAATTTTGGGTAATGGAGTTCTATAAAGCATATATAACCCAGCTATCTTTGAGAAGCTCATTGATACTTACAAATATACATAAATGATTTTCCCTTGCATGATTACGTTATATAAGCTTACTTCTCCATATTATAGTTGTTTTTATTTCTAAAAGTGAGGATGTGATTGATTTAGAGAATCATTAACTCAATCGCTGTCCTGTGTGATGGAAGCTGCAGTGACTGTCATGTGATTGGGTAGGACTTGGTACCTATCAGTGTAAACACATGGCACAGCCTGTTCCATGCCCCTTCTTATCTCCTTCAGAGAGAAGGGGTTGAGTCGTTTTGAGCAAATCTTATTGGTAAAGTTGTGTGTATGTATTGCTTTTTTTTTTTTTTTTTTAAATATTTAAAGAACCTTTTCCTTTCAGTTTTAACCATATTAACTGTGTCTGCAAATAGTTTGTCAGCAGAGCAGCTTTCTGTTTTAATAATTTAGAATTTTGAAAAAAGACATGCTTGATAAGCTAGTTTAATTTTAAGATGTTTTACTTAGAAGATGATAGTGAAGATGAGAAGGTTCATGAGGATTCATTAAGTAAAACTGAAGATGTTTACTATGGAAAGGCCCCAGCTGGTATCCTGGTGAGTTTCATCCGCCTATGTCCTGGTCACTTTGCTTGCTCAGTCTGGATAATACTACATCAAATGGCTAATGCCTTTTCTTTGGGAAATGTGGTGTCGCAGGGATTTTATTAATTTTTAAATGGTAGGTTTAACAGAAATCTTTGCCTGCCTGCTCTGTCTCATTCACACTACACCATCTTTCTACCTTTTTCCATTTATTAGTTAACAATGACTTTGTGCCTAGAAAAAGAAAAGTCATTATTTAAACTGAAAATTAAAAAAAAAAAACCACACAGCTGGTTTCACATTCTCTTTGTATATAAGTGCAGTAGTTGAATAAAAAAACATTTATTTATTTATTTTTAAAATATATTTTATTGATATTTTTACAGAGAGCAGGAAGGGAGAGAGAGATAGAGAGCTAGAAACGTCGATGAGAGAGAAACATCGACCAGCTGCCTCCTGCACACCCCTTACCGGGGATGTGCCCACAACCAATGTACATGCCCTTGACCGGAATCGAACCTGAGACCTTTCAGTCCACAGACCGACGCTCTACCACTGAGCCAAACCAGTTTTGGCTGAATAAAAAAACATTTAAAGGTCTTAAAATTTTTATTATTTTAGCAAAAAATTTTGAAAACTAAACCAATATTGTGAAACTGGCATTTTATTCTGACATATGATAGAGAAGTGTCACTGCAGTCTTTTTTCTTCTATGATTGCAAACAAAAAGATTCTGTAAACTTGAAATAGAAGGGAAAAGGCATATTGTTTGAGCTTTCTAAAAATATTTTTATTTGGATGTTTTACATATATATATTTATTTGAATGTCTAGAGTTTTCTCTTACAAAATATAAAACAAGTCACATAAACTTAGCGTTAAGTTCCAGAAGTCTGCATTAAGGAAAAAAAAAATCAGCCGAAACCGGTTTGGCTCAATGGATAGAGCGTGGGCTTGGGGACTGAAGGGACCCGGGTTCGATTCCGGTCAAGGGCATGTACCCTCGTTGCGGGCATATCCCCAGTAGGGAGTGTGCAAGAGGCAGCTGATCGATGACTCTTCCACATCGATGTTTCTAACTCTCTCTCTCTCTCCCTTCCTCTCTGTATAAAATCAATAAAATATATTTTTTTAAAAAGAAAAAAAAAATCAGAAGAATTAAGGGTAATATTATTTAACTCAACCTTTGGAACCCTTTCCTTTAAAAATAATCTGAAGTAAATGCACTGAGGTAAAGGTATTTTTTTAGAAGACTAAAAAAAAAATGTTTTTATAAAGATAGATATAAAAAAAAACAGAACAGAAATTAGTTTCTAAAATCTGTGGCTCATAATTAGGTTGGTTTTTAGTTTTAAAAATTTTTATCACTTTTTTAAAACATCGTTTTTGCTTTAGGATCTGTTTTGATAAAAGTACTTTTTCAGGGTTCCCAGTAATTGATGGAATTGGACATTATTTGAATATGGACATCATTTGAGTATGAGTGGAAGCCAGGTGCTACTGAGAGGCAATTTACTTTTAAGTTTCCATTTTAATATTATTGATATATAGTATATGTAGATTCATGGACTTTTGTTGTAAAGGTCAGAAAGGAGACCAGTGAACCCAGCTGATATGAAGTATTTTAAAAATTTAATGAGTAGTTCTAACCCAAACCATCTATCATAGGAAAAAGTTCTTATGCTTCCTGCTTTCTAAAGGGGTGTGTGTGTGTGTGTGTGTGTGTGTGTGTGTGTGTGTGTTTGGGGGGTGGTGTTTGATTAGATTGCACTTTATTATCAGCTCCCTTTTATCGTAATGTTAGAACATTGATCTGTGGGTTACCTCCCTGCCCCAAGAGAAACTTGGATTTTCTGAATGGCTAGTGTTCAATATTGGATTTGATATATGCTTAATAAGCTTATACTGATTACATAAGAGTTAGACTTTATAACCTGGGTGTGTATGTGTGGGTGTGGGTGTGTGGCAAGGTGGAGAGGGTGAATCCTGGCTTTCAGGGTCCAGACCCTAAGTGACCTGGATGCTCCCTGCTAGTCATAGGCTGTCTGCACATACCTGCTGTTGGAAGGTGAAAGTCTTTATCTTAAAGAAGGTGATAGTGTGTATTTGGAATGTAAATGCATATCTAGTAACTGTGTTTCATTGGGAATATTTTTAAAATAGTGTTCCCATAATTTCTAAACAAGTGAAGATAATTCCTTTATTTGGTAAGGAAAAGGCGAAAATAGTTTCATATTCAAATATCTTGAAGTTTCAAAATAATTTGCTGGCCTTAACCCCACTTACTTTAAATTACTTTGTTTGCATTTTTTAAAATTAGGGCAAAATGTACTATCGGAATTCTTAACCAAACTTGTAATACTAAGAAATGCTTCCAGAATTGAGTCTTTCTGTGGTTTAGAGTTGAAAGAGAATCTAGGGGTTATCTGACCATGCTTTTTTCCCCCCCAACTTTTATAACTTCTTAATTTTTTAATTATTGATTTAGGTATTACATATGTGTCCTTATTGCCCCATTGCCCCCCCCCCATGCCCTCAACCCCCTGTTGTCTGTGTTCACTGGTTATGCTTTTATGCATGCATACAAGTCCTTTGGTTGATCTTTCCCCCGCCCTCCCCTACCTTCTCTCTGAGGTTTGACGGTCTGATCGATGCTTCTCTTGTCTCTGGTTCTGTTTTTCATCAATTTATGTTTATTATATTCCATAAATCATTGGGATCTTAATGATATCTATTGTTCTCTGACTGGATTATTTCACTTAGTATAATGCTCTCGGGTTCCATCTATGCTGTTGCAAATGGTAAGAATTCCTTCTTTTTTATTGCAGTGTAATATCCCATTTTGTAGCTGTAACACAGTTTTTTAACCCACTCATCAAGTGCTGATGGGCACTTAGGCTGTTTCCAAGCTATGGTAAATTGTGCCACTATGAACATAGGGGTGCATAGATCCTTTCTGATTGGTGTTTCTAGTTTCTTTCTTTTTTTTTTTTTTTTTTTTTTTTAAAGGAGAGTCAACATGCTATATTGTCTTTTTTAAAAAAATATATATTTTATTGATTTTTTACAGAGAGGAAGGGAGAGAGAGAGAGTTAGAAACATCGATGAGAGAGCTGCCTCTTGCACACCCCCCCGGGGATGTGCCCGCAACCAAGGTACATGCCCTTGACCGGAATCGAACCTGGGACCTTTCAGTCCGCAGACCGATGCTCTACCACTGAGCCAAACCGGTCCCGGCTGCATTGTTATTTTGATGTGCATCTCTTGGATGATTAGTGACTTTGAGCATGTTTTCATATGTTTCTTGGCCTTCTGTATGTCCTCTTTTGAAAAGTATCTATTTAGGTCCATTGCCCATTTTTTGTTTGGGTTGTTTAGCTTCCTTTTAAGTTGTATGAGTTCCTTGTAAATGTTGGAGATTAAACCCTTATCTGTGATAACATTGGCAAATATGATCTACCATGCAGTGAGCTTTCTTGTTGTATTGTTGATAGTTTCTTTTGTTGTGCAAAAGCTTTTTATTTTTATGTAATCCCATTTGTTTATTTTCTCTTTAGTTTCCATTGCCCTTGGAGTTATATTGGTGAAGAAATTGCCCTGGCATATGTCTGAGATTTTGCTGCCTGTGGATCCCTCTAATATTTTTATGGTTTTCCATCTTATGTTTAAGTCCTTTATCCATTTTGAGTTTATTTTTGTGTATAGTGTAAGTTGGTGGTTTAGTTTCATTCTTGTTAGATATGAGAACCCCTCCTAATGATGCGGAAGTGAGACTTGACCTTGCTTGGATCTTTATATTTTCACCAGTTACAGCGCACTCCAGGAAGCACTGAAGAGGCAGTGCTTCCCCGCCCTTGTCCCTCTACTCTCTTTATCAAAGCACCTGGGCACTTGTGTGGTTGAGTCTTAAAAGCTCACTTTTTTTTTTTTCATAGAGAATTTAATATTTTTATATTATTTAAGCTGGATTTATTAACATAAACAGTAGTAGAAGATAGTGAAGTACCCTGTAGGTATTTAGAGTGTGTGGCGTGGGGCAGTGCGCTTTATTATTATTTTTTAAATATATTTTTATTGATTTCAGAGAGGAAGGAAGAGGGAGAGAAAGATAGAAACATCAGTGATTAAGGAGAATCATGGATTGGCTGCACGCCCCCTACTTGGGGTTGAGCCAGGAACCCAGGCATATGCCATTAAACAGAAGTGAACCTGGGATCATTCAGTCCGCAGGCCAATGCTCTATTCACTGAGCCAAGTCAGCTAGGGTGGGACAGTGCACTCTATATTGAGTTAGGAAACCCTCACTAAGGGTGGGAGTGGAGTGGAGAAGATGCCCTAACCTCCCCCCCCCCCCTTCCCAACACATTTGCCATTACTCCCTGCTGCCAGAAATCCTAGCATAGAAATGTTCACAAAACTGATTATTTAGTGACATAGAATTTTATTTCCTCACAGAAATGTGGTGATGTTACTAGTTAGGCAATATGAGGGAGTAAATTCTGTTAGAATCTTTCTGTTTTCATAAATTGTTGCCACATTTAATCCTGATGCCACAGATGAGCTCAGGTATCTAGGGAAGAATAATTTAGAGGCTTCGTGAGAGTTATATCTAGGCAAGGTCCACAAACTCAATAGTCAACAGAGCCAAATATCAACAGTACAACCATTGAAATTTCTTTTGAGAGCCAAAATTTTTAAACTTAAACTATATAGGTAGATGCATTGTTATTAACTTAACTAGGGTGCTCCTAAGCTGGCCTTTGCTAAAAACTCAAGGGGCCAAAGAGCTGCATGTGGCTCGAGAGCTGCAGTTTGCTGACCATTGGTATAGGTTCTTTGAAAATTATTATGAATTTTTATATTTATGACCTTATCTGCTTTCAGAAAGAAAGACTTGGAGCTAGTTTACAATGAAAACATATGATATACAACTACTCTACAATATTGTAGAGTGCATGACTAAACAATTTTAAAAAACCAAAATTATCTTCATTCAGTAAACATTTATTTGCC